GAATAGTGTGAGATACAATGTATACATACTTTGTAAGCAAAAGAGGGGGGGAACCCAACAAACACAAAATTATGTAAAAAAAAAAAGAGACAGACTTATTCATCAAACATTACAGACATTAAGACATACTAGGACAAGCTATAATTAAACATCTTATGGGCTTAAAATTGTCAGTTATGAATTTCTATATGTGTGTAATTCTGTAACAAAGAAATGTATGATACTTCAAATAATTTTTTAATCTTCAGGATAAGCCATAGTATTTCATGACTACAGTTTAAGTCCAGATTTAACTAGAGAAAATAGTATTAAGATAATGAAGTAGTAATGGTGTTCCTTAAAGCAGTGTGCCTCAATTTTAAATGTACGCGTCTATTAACAGGGATCTTGCAAGGGTGGGACTTCTGATTCAGTAAATCTAGGGTATGGCCTAAGGAGGAGCTCTTGTGGCTTAATAGTAAAAAATTGGCCTGCCAATCCAAAGGAACATGGTTCGAATCCACCAGCTGCTCCATGGGAGAAGAATGGGCAATCTCTTCCTACGCAATTAATTGCTTCTGAAAATCCACTGGAGGGTAAGCTATGAGTCAGTTCTGACTTGATGGTACACAACAACAACATCAACCAGGGTGGGACCTAAGATTCCCCATTCTGAACAGGTCATGAATCAAGCTACATTTGTACTTGCCAGGATCTAGGGGTACCACCAGCTGAGCTGAGGAAGGTATTAAACTGTGGCCATTAACTGAGAGTACAGAATTAAATATATGTCAATTCCCTGAAACCCACCAAGCTATGCTAACTAAAAACCAACATATCCCTTTTGTACAATGAAATAAAACTTCACACAGTCTAGAAGCCTTTCTCCTTACAGGCACTGCAAAGACCTCAAGCTAATCTCTCTTAAAAAAAGATGAAGCTCCTTGACCTGCAAAGGTTCAAGCCAAGATCCTGGGCTGTGGCAATGCCAGCAAGGTAAGAGTACATGGCAAATCCTAAGTGACCAGCTGGCATCACTACTTGTGACATCTTGAGCCACTATCTCAATTTACAATCAGTAGAAACAGCAGCTTTGTCATAGTGGAGCAAGTGTTGAAAAATACAAGTGAACGACAAATACACAAAAACGTGGGTTTTTCTTTGTTCTCTTCTTAAGAAAAACAGCCTAACATTCAGCCACCAATGGAATGCTAAATCCATGAGGGCAGTGGTCTGTGTCCCTGGGCCACAGCATCCCTAAGACCAGAAGTACCCCTGAACCACAGCCCTCCCAACTATCAACAAGTTGATTCTGACTCACAGCGATCCTGGAGGACTGGACTGTAGGATTTCCAAGGCTGTGAAATTTTGCAGAAACAGCCAGCCTCAACTTTCTCCCAAATAGCAGCTACTGGGTTCAAGCTGCCAACCTCAGGGTTAGCAGCAGAATGCCATAACCACAGCATCATCAAAGCTCTTTCTAATCCACAGTGGGGGCCCAACAAATATTTACTGAGTGAATGAACAAATGAGTACTTAACGAGAGTGGGAGTTAACTTCTTTGGTATTTACATTTTAATACTAAAGATTCCATGGAGCTACACAGAGAACTATTTTCAATGATTTCAACATCAGTCAGAACACGCAGGCTATAAACATCTGATTTTCTGAAGACAACAAATCTTTCTCTCTAGCCTTTAATTTATTCAGTTAAGAGTTAAGACTACCCTTGCATTCCTACACAGAACTTCCTTTTCTCTAAAAACAGACCGTAAAGGCCTTAACCACAAGAGGAGAAACTGCTACAAGTTGGCAGTTGTTTTTGACAGCATAACTTGTAAAATTTGTATTCTTCTTCCTTTTAAACTTTCATAAACATTTCTTTTCTCTTTAGTTCAATGAAAATACTTATCACCAAACATGTGCAGTTTTAAAGATTCTTACATCTTCCATTCAGTGATATTAATTTTGTTCACCTTGTTGTGTAAACTATCAAACCCTATACATCATTTCGGAATATGACATCATTGTAAGGAAAGCTTCTTAATAGTTAAGAAACAAAAGCAGAGATTAAAAAGTATCCAAAGAGTCTCAAAAAAGGCTAAATGCCAAATTACTATATGACCTAGCTGTTCAATTCTTGGCCCATGTAGTCCCTGACTTAACAGGGTTCTGATCCAATATAAATTGGTTCTGAATAAATAGAATACCTCTTTTTTAAAAGTTACTGCCTTTTTTATCTGTTTCTTTAGAAATTTGATCTTTGTCTGTAAACATCTGAGAATGAGAACGTCAGCAGACTACACACGCCAACACTGCATGCAGTGCACGCTGCTAGCAAGAAAACGTAAAAAAAAAGAAAAGATATCCCGGATGGTCATGTCCTAAGTCTTGTTCCTCGCAACCTGACTATCTCGTAAGTCAAGGACTATTTGTATGTACCCAAGAGAATTATTACCATACATCTCCATCCAAACTTGTACATGAACGCTCACAGCAGCATTATTTATAATAGCCAAAAAGTACAAAAATCCCCAGTGTGCATAAACTGAAGAACAGATCAATAAAACGTCGTATTTCCACCTAATGGAATATTACTCAAGAATAAAAAGGAATGAAGTACTCATGGATGCTATAACATTGGTGAACCTTGAAATATGCCAAATGGAAGGACATACACACACATACCACACACACACACACACACACACACACACACTCTCACTCACCAAAATACATACAGTGCATCAATCCATTAGACAAAATGTTCTAAATATGTTAATACACAGAGACAGCAATTATATTCGTGGTTGCTGGGAGGACTGACCACTTATATTATGGGGTTTCTGTCTGGGATGATGAAAAGGTTCTGGAATTATGCAGTAGTGATGACTGCACCATTTTATACACATACAAAAAAACCCCAACACCACTAAGTTGTACTTTCTAAAGTGTAAATGTTATACTATGTGATTTATACCTCAACACTTTTAAAAAATGACAAAAGGAAATAAAATCAGTTAGTAAAAATAGACACAAACAAATGGGGAACATCCTTTTCTCTCTGTTCTTCTCCCAGGCAAAACTGTTGACCCAAAAGCTGCAATATTTATGTAGTTATTCTGAAAATGGCTGAAACTCTAAAAATATCTTAACCACTAGACAAAAGCAGCTGCTTGTTTTGATAACATTTTTCTAACACAGACCTTCCCTAAAATGCAAGTTGACAAAGGACTGATTCTACAAATTCAAACATGTACAATTCACTAAAATTAGCTCTGAGGAGAGAGATTGCTGTAACTGGCACTGGCAGGCAACACATTCCAGCTCACAAAAAAGAACTACTTTGTTACTTGCTCTAGTTAGAAGGCAATGTCATCAGGGACCTAATTGTGATGGATGGTTTCTTAGCATTTTCTATCTCAAGCCCAAGAGACAATAGGCCTCAAAATCAAACCAACACAAACAATAGAAAATAGCCCATACTGAGCTGGGCTAAATTATAAAAAAAGCACAGCCTGCATTTAAATGACGATATAAAATTCCAAAGACTAAGTGCTCAGAAATTGAATACTAAATCATTTAAGAAGAGGAAACATTAATCTTTTTTTTAAAATACATTCAATAGTGCACAAAAATATTTAATAGGCACTATATCCAGATACTAACTTAATCCAGGTAGTATCAGGTTTGCTGTTGTTTAATTTCAGAGATAAACAATAATCATGCTCATATATAATTTATACTAACTGGCTTAAACATTAATCACAGTAAGAAGTATTTTAATCTCTCTTTAAAACAAACTCCCAGATTTAGAACCTTTCTTTCAAAACAAGATGGAATAATACAGATGTTTTCATATTAAAGAAGAGAAGATTCTATAGCCTTAAAAACCTTCATTCAAGTCAGAGTTACCATGTCTAAATTCCGTTCCTAGTTCTACTACTAAAATATGAATGATGTCTGGCCGACACCAACTCTGCAAGGTTGCTGAATGACAGGTTTTTGTTTGGCATATGTAAGACCCAAAGCATGATGAGTATTCCTACTAATACCAATAATCCAAACCAGTTATTACAACACTACCTTTATATTACTTGCACAAGGGTGTTACTAGGATGCCAGTTCAGATTAATACCAAGTGTGACGTAGAGCAATTCAGACAGAATCCTACTCACTAAAAAAATATTTACAAACCATCTGTGCCTATCCTATCAGGCACTGGCAGTAAGCTATAATCTTTTTCTGTAACTGTTTAAGGGTGTTGAGAAAACATGTGGCTTTCCTATTATCTTTGATAACCCTGTCCCCACTGGAACAGATAACAGTGCCACTTGAAAGTATATTTAGCATCTCTTTGCAGAATCAGTCTCTTTAAATCTATTTTCCCATATTCCTACACCTTTGTATTCGCCCCATCAATTTCTTTTTTTCTTTCTTCTACACTTTACCTTCATTTTTATCTAGAAAAGAATTACTAATTTTTTAAACGCACTGAAGATCCCGAATGTTATTTTCAGACTCTAAGCCCATTCATAGTGTTAACTCTCTTTCTTTACCTCTTTTTAGCCTTCACTTTCCAAGAACCATTTGGTCCCAACCTTACCATTCCCCAAGTCACATGTACCATATACATTCTTCTTTAAAATCAACCCCCATCGCCGTTGCAAGTTTCCCCAAAGAGAGTCTCCACTTCCCTTAACTCGTTACCTTCATTCATCACCGCCCTCCCTGAGGCCCTCGGATCGTGCTCTAATCCAGTCCTCCTTCCCCTCAATCTCAGAGCTCACGCCCAGTCCCCTCTCAGGTCCACAGAGAGGAGGAAACGCCCCTCACACTTGCCTTGAATCCCCCTAAACTTGTCCCCCCACCCCCGCTCTCCACTCTCCTGACCCTCCCGGGGTCCCCCTTCTCCCCGTCTTTGGGCACTCCCAGCCCGCGGAGCCTCACTCCCCGCCCACCCTCGGCACCCGCACGCCTCCCCGGGGCCCGCGGCGCCCCTCCGGGCGCGGCCCGCCGACCTGCCTCCGCGCCTCCCGCAACCCCTGCAGCCTCTGGCCCAGCTCGCGCCGGTAGCTCTGCGCCGCCTCCACGTTCTCGCGGGCCTCCTGCAGCAGCAGCTCGGGCTCCAGATCCATGGCCCGCCTCGTCCCGGCGCGCGGCCGGCGGCTGCGGGCGGGCTCCTGCCTGTGCCGGGTTCCTGCCTGCGCCGGGATCCTGCCAGTACCGGCTCCGCAGCGCCACCCCGCGCGGCCCCTCGCAGGCGGAAGCGCCGCCACGCCACGCCCCGCGCCGGCTTGATTGACGGTTTCCAACGCCGCGAGCCGTGAGGGCCAAGTTCGAGACCGCCGCGAGCCAGACCTGTGCAGGAGCGCGGTGTCTCTGCCGCACTACGTGGTGGTGGAAAAATTAAGAACCAACCCTCCGCCAAATGCTCTCCTCATCTAGTCTCACTTCCACTGGACAGACAGGGAAACCTGGCAGGATTGAAACCAGCGCTGACTCTAGCTAGCGCCTTGCTTGGTTCTTAACCATCACTATACTATCTCCTTGAAAAATTACGAGTGCTCTGATAGCGTAGGGCGTAAGAAGTTGTTCTCCCAGCGCGAAAGTGAACGGTTTAAATCCGCTGAAAACTTACTACACAGTCCACTAATGCACGGATGGATTAATTGATTCCATGATGACAGTAATTGGTTCTTTTGCGTTTTTGTTTTTGTTTCTAATAAATGAGCAAGAGATTCAATTAATTATCAAAACCTCCATACAACATTAAAATGTTCTGGACTAGATAACATCACTTGGAATTCGATCAAATAGAGAAGAATCGACACTGTAACTGTTTGAAATACTCTGAAAGAGTAGGAAGGAATACTCTCCAGTTCATTCTGTGAAGCAAACATTCATTCTGTGAAGCAAACATAACCATGACACCACAAGAAGAGAAAACTGTAGGCCACAAGGAAATTATACTCTACAATAAAACTATAGTACAACATGAATATATATGTAAAAGAAGCTAAACAGAATACTAGCAAGCAAAATGCAACAGTTTATTAAAAGAGTCCTACATCATGTGTAAGTGGGATTTATTCCAGGAATGCAAAAATGGTTAGTCATCAGCAAATCAATCAACAGAATACACATTATTAGTACAAAGGAAAAGAACCACATGATCTCTCTGAATGTAGAAAAGACATTTGATAAAATCTAACATCCTTCATTAACGAAAAAGCTAAAGAAAATTGGAATAGAAAGACATTCCTCTATATGATTCTATGCATATATGAAAAATCAACATTCACTGTTAACAGAGAAAGTCTAAAGAATATTTCCTTTGAAATTGTAAATAAGATAAGGAAGCCTACTCTCACCATTTCTGTTCAATATTGTATTAGAAGTCCTAATGATAGCAATAAGACAAGAGGAAAAAGATGAAAGGTATCCAGATTGAAAAAATGAGAAGTAACATTATCTTTATTTACAGATGGCATGATTTTATATCTAGAAAATCCCAAAGAGTCTGCAAAAGTCTTATAAAAGAGTTAACAGAAGAATTTCACAAAGTTGCTGAGTTGTAACAGTGTCACTAAAAATCAGTTGGGTTTCTATACACAAGCAATGAGAAATATGAAAGAGAAATTAGGGAAACAATTCCATTGATAACGGCATCTAAGAGAATAAAATACCTAGGAATAAATCTAACTGGGAATCTAATTGACTTATACAAAGAAACTATAAAACATTGCTGAATGATATAAAAGAAGACAAAGAAATGGAGAGATATATTCCAAGTTCATGGACTGAAAAACTTAATCTTATTAAGATGTCAATACTACCCAAAGTGATCTATAGATTCAACATAATCCCAATCAAAAAAAAAACCCCAACAGCATTCTTTTGTTGTTGTTGTTGTTATGTGCCATCGAGTCGCATATGACTAATAGCGACCTTGTGTACAAGAGCCCTAAATGCCATTCTATCCTGTGCCAACCTCGCCATCTCAAACACACTCATTCCTACCACTCCACTCACAGAATCGATCCATCTCATCAAGGGTCTTCCTCTCCTGTGCCATCCCTCCACTCTCCCAAACATGATGTCCCTCTCCAAGGACCAGTCCCTCCTTACAACATGCCCAAAGTATGTCAGACAAAGCTTCAGAATCCTTGACTTCAAGGAGCATTCGGCTTCACCATCTCACCATCTCTTGAACAAAACTTTTTGTTCTCCTAGTAGTTCATGGTATATTCAACACTTTTCTCCAGCACTACCGCTCAAAGGCATCAATTATCTTTCTATCAGTCCTATTCATTGTTCAACTCTCTGACGCATAGCACGTAATTGCAAATATTATAGCCTGGATCAGGCGCACCTTAGTCTCCAGCTTGATGTCATTGCTCTTCAGTATTCTTGAGAGGTGCCTGACAGCTGACTTTCCCAATGCAATTCGCCTGCTGATTTCCTGGCTGCTGTTACCAAGAGTGTTAACTGTGGAATCAAGTAAACTAAAACAACTGGTCCAGTGGTGAGAATCTTTGTTTTCTTGATGTTGAGCTTCAATCCATACTGAAGGCTGCAGTCCTTGACCTTCTGTAGCAAGCGCTTCAGGTCCTCCTCAGTTTCAGCAAGCAGGGTTGTGTCATCCGCATAACACAGGTTGTTGATGATTCTTCCACCAATCCTGATGCCACATTCCTCCTCGTACAGTCCAGTGTCTTGGATGATCTGTTCTGAATACAGATTGAAAAGATATGGAGACAAAATACAACCCTGATGGACTCCCTTCTTGATTTTGAACCTTGCAGTGTCTCCTTGCTCTGTTCTGATGACTGCCTCTTGGTCCAAGTATAGGTTTCGCATTAGCACAATCAAATGCTCTGGGATTCCCATTCTTCTCAGAGTCAGGCATAGCCCTGTTGTGATCTACACAGTCAAAAGCCTTTGCATAGTCAATGAAGTACAGAAAGACATTCTTCCGGTATCCTCTGCTTTCTGCCAAGATCCATCTAGCATTAGCTGCTATAATATCCCTAGTATCACGACCTCTTCTAAATCCAGCCTGCACATCTGGCAGTTCTCTGTTGACATATTGTTCCATACAGAAAGAAAAAAACCAAACAAACAAAACAAACCCAACCCAAAACAATCTTCAACTCTCAACTTTATGTGGAGAGGCAAGAGACTACAAACAGCTGAAACAATGCTGACTGGAAAGAACAGATGATGAGAACTCACATTTCCTGATTTAAAAATACACTATACAGCTAATCAAACAACAGTAATCAAAACAGCTTAGGACAAGTATAACAATAGAAACATCAACTGAATATGTAGGTCAAATGGTGTATGACAAGGTGCTAAGGCTAAGGGCAAAGAAAAATATCTTCAATAGATCATCTGATAAAATTGGATTTCTACCTGCAGGAAAATGAAATGAGATCTATGCCTCACATCATTCACACATATACAAAACTGATTTTTTAAAATCCATTTTTAAATTGGATAAATTGTTTTAAATGGATTCATATCTAAATGTACAAACTAAAATCATCAAATGATTTTAAAACAAATAAAAGCAATGCTATATTCGGCCTAGCTTTCAATACTCTAATAACAAAAGCATAAACAGCAAAAGACAAATAGATAAATGCGATCTCATAACAATTAAGACTTTCGTTGTTTAAAAGACTTTACCAGAATAAAAGCTACTGACTGGGAAACTACATTTTCAGAAACTGATATGACAAGAATCTACTCACTAAAATATATCTGAAAATTTGGCAACTTACAAAAAGGCAACTCAATCAGAATGGGCACATGTTTTCTTCACACATGAAGACATGCTCAGCATCATTAGCCATCCTTGTCTTTAGGTACTGCCAAGTTGACTGCCATTCATAATGACCATGTGAGCAACAGGTCAAAACCGGGCCCTATCCAGTGCCACCCTCACAGTCTCTCCTATGCTCAAGATCACTATTGCAGTTCCTGGGTCTATCAATTTCATCAGCCATCGAAGAGATGCAAATCCAAACCACAATGAGATACTATGTGTGTTGCACTGCTAACTGAAATGTTGGCAGTTCAAATTGACCAGCTGCTGTGAGAGAAAAATTAGTAGACTTTTCCAGTAAAGATTTAGCCTCAGAAACCCATTGGAGGGTTGTCATGACTTGGATTGATTCCACAACAGTGGGTTTGGGTTAGAGTGGTTAAGAGTAAAAAATAAACAATAGCAAATGCTGGCAAAGTTATGGGGAAATTTACACAATGTTGTTAGGAATGCAAAACGGTATAGCTGCTGTGGAAAACAAGGGTGGTGGTCTCTCAAAAAATTAAAAATAGAACTACCAAATGACTTAACGATTCTACTCTTAAGTATACACTCAGTTGACTGAAAGAAGAAACTCAGAGACGTCAAGACCAATGTTCATTGCAGCACTATTCCCAACAGCTAATGTTGTTGTTTTGTTGTTGTTATGTGCCGTCGAGTTGCCTGTGACTCATAGCGACCCTATGTACAACAGCCCTAAACTCCGCTCTGTCCTGTGCCAATCGCACTGTCTCTGACACTCCCATTCCAATTATCCCA